ACAAAATGATTAGTGTTGTACTAAAGAAAGAAAACCTTAATTGCAGCTTCTGTTTTTTTCACAAACCATTTTTAATTACTTCTTTTGACTTCTGGCTGGAGCTCAAAGAGCCGGCTTATAGAATGGAGCTTAGAGAGCCGTTCATTATTTTATTTTATTTTATTTTATTTTTTTGCAAAAAAAATTTATATTGGCGCATTACTTTTATACTCTTATATGATGAACTTCCAATTTTGAGAATTTTTATTCTCCCCCGTAATTAATATTCTGATAAGAGCCTTTACTTGTTATTCTTTTTTTGTTTTTTTTTTTCTGAATTTTTTTATGATATTTCAAATATATGTCGTTTCGTTTCATATTTTCATGTAATAAATTCACAATTAGAAAATATTTTTATTGAGTTCGTAATAAAAAACCAAATCTGGCTGATTTCTGTAATTGGGCAAAATAACAAACTGAACTAACTTTGAAAATAATCACATTATCAAGTTCATTTAAAGACTGTAAACTTTGTAATAATTTTATTAAATTGAATTTAAAGATTTATTTATTTATTTTACTTTCAATAAAGTTTAAGATTTTTATTTACTCAAAAATTTAAGGAATCCAAAATGCATCTAGACGAGTTAATTGGGTATGGGAATGCAATGAAGCTTCTGGCGATAGATATTGATTTGTTATATTCTGATGCTTTATCCTTAAAACATCGTTGTAATATTCACTAACGACCCTTGACTTCTTATTTAACCATTCTTGCTTCTCGTTTTGAGGAATTTTAAGATACTCGTCAAAGGTATCGTAGACTTCACTTTTCAAATAATGAACTAAACTAGAGATGTGACCCGTTATTCACTGAATCGAAATTTATTAATAAAATCCAGTGAATATTCACTGGATTTATTAATAAATTTCGATTCAGTGAATAACGGGTCACATCTCTAAACTAAACTAGATGACACTGAAAATTCACGCACAGAATAATCTAAGTATCTTCCATCAAGCTGTGCGTAATCAACTGAATGGAATGCCGGAAAGAGTTCGGATGGAATACGATTTTCTTCCTCAATTTCAAAACGACTATATAATCAAACGAAAATTAATAACTGTTGGAATTTAAAAACCAATGGGTTTTTTTTTAATTTACCTTATTAACACTTGTTCTCGACACTCAGAACAAATCTTGGTTTTCAGTTCAAGGATTAAAGAAAAATCAGAACGCCTGCAAAATTGGCATCTTTGACACATAAAGTTTAAGAAACAATATTGCTGTTCGGTCATATGAATAGGACATTTGTGATTATAATTTGGTTGTTGTTGTCTAGATATCTTCCAATAATATTCATCTTGTAATTTTCCAAATAACAATTTTTCAACTTGTGTCAAAGAAAATAAATCTTTTGGAGTTAAATACGAACAAATTTCAGCTAGAATAGTATTATTTGATATTAATTCCTTCCATTTCACATTATCGATAATTTCAGATATTCGCAAAGAACCAATATCTATTCATTCGAGAAGTCAGACAATTTACATATACTAGAAGGAAAAATAAATTAAGCATACCTATTTCGTATTCATTTTGGTTTTCATTGTATTTATTTTGGTATGTTTCAAATAACTTTTTCATTTTTCGAAAAAAAATCGTTAGTTCTGCATTTTTTACAGAATTTGCTGTCAAGTTAAATCCGTAATCTATTACACTACTTAAATCAGCACTTTTATTTCTTAACGCCTCATTTACGTTTAATAAACTATCAATTTGGTTTTTAAGTTTTCTAACATCTTCTTTGAGTTTTTTGAAATCTTTTAGACGTGATTCAAGTTCATTAATTTTTATTTCTTGACGTCTATATTTACGTTGAAGATATTTCACATGTCCTTCAAGAAAAATGATCGAAGCCTTTTCAATGTCGAAAGTGTTGGAACGGAGATGTCGTTTATACTCAGCTGTACGAGTCATAGTTATTTTAACAGATTTGTTCGGAAGCGATGAATTTTATTTATTTTATTACGCATAAATTTAAATAAATTAAATAAAAACGCGCGTGACTTGCAAAGAATTCAAAGTTTACTTATAATATTACTATATAATTCCAAAATAATATACATTCATCAAAGTTGAGCGGGTTGGGCCTGGGCCCGAATCGGTCAACTTTGAAGAGTAATTAATCAATAGATACAATTGTTTTTCAACCTGAATCAATATATATTTTTTATATGGGCTTTTTGTTATTTATAATTTTTTTTTTTATATTAAAAAAATTTTTTATAGTTCAGGCGAGTGAAATATGTTGTAAGATCAGCGTGTAACATACAAATGCGAAAAGAAAACCAGAAAATCGCAAAAACTCAGATTCGCAAGGGAAATTGGTCTTGTTATTGTGTAAAAGTTTTCAGCACAAAAATTTAGATATATTCTTTCTACTTTGTATTAATGCAAACATAATTTTTAGACGAAAATTAGGATTTCATTGTTATTGAATTAGTCACGGGACCGTGAATTTTTGCGCCACGGTTCAGGCAGAATTTTCTCGAAAATCACAGGACCACTCCTTGGCAGGCACATACTAACTCGCACTATAAGGATATTATGCAATCCAAGATAACTACTAGTTGTTAAATTTAATCCGGTTTTAAATATATATAGAAT